AACCCCGGCCGCTCTCCCTGGACAGCCCATCCTAACACGATGGGCACCAGCACCCTCCCTCATCTCGTTAAAATCTGCTCATGGCTAAGTTATATTTGCCTGCTCTCGTGACCGTGCTCCCCCTTAGCCGGTGTGCTTGTTCTCCCTCCCGGGCAGCCACACCAAGTGCATTCATAAAGCATAACAACGTTATCCCCGAGCCCTCATTGCGCTAGGTTAAACAAAGCAATCTCTTTCAGGTCTGGTCTTTACTCCCCTCATCATCCTGGCAGCCCTGCCTTGGCAGCTGAGGCCCTTTTCAACACCCTGTTCTGGCCTCTGTCTCCCAGGAGTCACCAACAAGAAGCGTGACTTGCCCTTCCCCGCGCGGTGCAATAGCATCGCCACCGCGTCCTGACACGTGGAGCGAAACGGAGACTTTGGGCTGTGACCTGCCGCTCTGCCCCACAGCCAAATTAATTCTCAAGGACGTTGGTAAACATGTCTTAATATTTTTGCAAATTGAAAGGGATACACAGCTTGGAGGATGCAATTTAAACTTTGATAGAATAAATGTCAGATTAGAAATGGCAGAAATCGCAACCTTTTGCTAGAAAAATTATGAGTGTGGTAAGAGGTATTTCATTTTTATACTTTACTGTGGCAAACATCTGATGTTTAAATCATCTGCAGTTCATGACTTTGCAGATCAAGCATCTGGCACCGAAGTAGACTGAGTTGATTACAAACTCCTACCTTCTAAACTTTTAATTAATTACTTCATAATTCTCACTTCTTTTTAATAAGGTCACTGAAATAAAGTTAACTTGATTATCCTCCTCTCTTTCATGAGATTTTTCTTTCACTGATGTAAATGTGAGTTAAAGAAACATCAGGCTTTTTCCTTTTTTTATCAACTATCTTGATTAATTTTGTTGGTACCAAAAGATGTAACTATGTAATGAGTAACAGTGATCTAGACTTGACTTGGTGGTCTCGTTAAGGCATTGAGCAGGGATTCGGGAGACTGAAATTCAAGTTCAAGCTCTGCCAGAGCTTCCCTGGTTGACTGCGGCCAGCTCGCCAAACCTCACCAGGTCTCGCCGCTCCCTGTACCGCGCGTGGCACGGCGATGGAGAGGCGGCTGCTTCCCTTCAGCCGTGGTTAGTTATTGATCCTGGCACTGGCCAGGAACTTTTTCTGCACAAGATCTGGGGTTTAATCTGCAAGTGTACAGTATTTAATGCAATGTAGCCTGAATTGCATTTTGGGATGCTATTGTGAAAAGCCCAAAAAGGAGCGAAGAATGGAAGAGAAGCAACGGGGGTGGGATGGATTTACTGAACGTAACATCGTAACTGCCAAGGACCAAGCGGGGACCATCCACAGGCTTAGCCAGGGCTGGCAGAAATGTCAGGTTTGTGGCCTGGGCCTCTTTACTATGTTTTACTCATGGAAATTAAGGCATCTTTAGCCCATTAAAATGTATTTATTCTCTGAAACCCTTACATGAATATGTTCGGAAATTGCCAGCCCCAATAGCAGAGAAGGGGACATTCAAAATGACAGCTCCTGGGTCTGCGCGTGCAGAAAGACCTCACACACACCCCAGAAAAAAGAAGAAGAGAGAGCTGGATTTACACAGCTTTTAAAGTGGAGTTTCACAGCAAATAATTTTGCAATCTGGAGTTTGAACTTATTTGGGAGCTTATGATCAGACATAAGTCTTTATTCATTTAATTTGTGCCACAATGCACACACACCCCCCCCCCCCGGCCTC